GAACTAGAACTGAACTAGAACTGAACTAGAACTGAACTAGAACTGAACTAGAACTGAACTAGAACTGAACTAGAACTGAACTAGAACTGAACTAGAACTGAACTAGAACTGAACTAGAACTGAACTAGAACTGAACTAGAACTGAACTAGAACTGAACTAGAACTGAACTAGAACTGAACTAGAACTGAACTAGAACTGAACTAGAACTGAACTAGAATTGAACTAGAACTGAACTAGAACTGAACTAGAACTGAACTAGAACTGAACTAGAACTGAACTAGAACTGAACTAGAACTGAACTAGAACTGAACTAGAACTGAACTAGAACTAAAGAACTGAATTGAAGCTAAACTTGCACTAAACTAGAACTGAACTAGCTGCCAGTATCCTTAGGGAAGTTGAAACATACTAAATGTCAGAAATTACAATTCTAAGTCGCTTTTGGTTACAAATTCATCATTCAAATCAATATCGCTCATGCAAAAATAAACGTGCAAACTTTTACACCCACACATTTGTCAAAGATTTTAAGCTTCAGACACGCGCTGCTTTGAGTTTTGTCAATCTTTTAAAAAGACAATAGTTTTAACATCTTGTTATCAGTGAAAACCATTTATCTCAAACTATTGTTTAATTATGAATTTAAAATTTGAATATTGATTATTTTGTTTTCTACTTTTTTGGCGTGATCGTGGTCATTATCATATTTAATATGTGTTTTGTGTTTTTTTTTTTTGCTATTAAGCCACGGGCCTGAAAGGTTTTTGATGTTTATGTTTGCGATATACATTGGTGGTCAATTGGGAATCACCCAAAATGGCAAAATACAAAATAATGATCTTAAGAAGCTAAACACGTAATAGAGAGCAGAGTTATCAAATAAGTAACGGTTGAACAGATGAGGGTTTTTTCGAAAATCCGTTAATAAAATACAACAATAGAAAATAAATTTGTGTTTCCCTATGTTTGTGCTTTGAATAGAAGGTGTTAATTGTTGTTGTTAGTAGTAGAGCTATGATGTATGCGATACATCATACTCTCTGTTTAGTAAACTTTTACGCTGGGGATTTTTTTTATTTTCTAATATTATAGTTCGAGATTCTCTCAAAATATAACTTTAATTCAGCCGCTTACACATTTTCGCTTACGCAGATCTCTTCACTAACGATGCTTAGAAATTTTGTTGGAAAAAGACAAGATATGTATAGCTAAGTGATCATTGATCACTACATAACAATAAATCAATCTCTTTAGAAGAGCTATAGTTAATATTGTTGTTGTTTCATTCAGCATATTTTATTATTCAGCACAGAGAAATGAGTTACAGTTTTTAGTATAAATACATTTGCACGCATTTATTGTGACATTAGTTGTGTGAACATATCTAAACAGTTTAAACAATTTGAAAGAAGATCACTAGTAACAAAATGAAAGTATTCATTGTTTTGGCCATGCTCTTAGCTGCTGTCTGCGCTGTACCCCAATTTGGCTTTGGTAGCCCCTATGGTGGGTGGCGGCTTTGGACGTCCCGGTTTTGGTGGTGGCTACGGTGGCGGTTTTGGCCGTCCTGGATTTGGTGGCGGCTATGGTCGTCCAGGTTTCGGTGGTGGCTACGGTGGAGGTTTTGGCCGTCCCGGTTTCGGTGGTCCCGGATTCGGAGGTCCTGGTTTCGGTGGTGTCGGCGGTGGCTCCTCATCTGCCTCTGCTTCTTCCAGTGCTAGCTCTGCTGGCAATGGTTTTGGCGGTGCTGGTTCAGCTTCAGCTTCTGCATCCGCATCAGCTGCTGGTGGCGGTGGTTTCCGCGGTTAGAAACTTCTCAATAATTTTTTGTGTCACACAAGAGATTATTAAAAATTTTAAATTTTTGTAGCATTTTTAGTTCTTTTTTGTTATAGTTTCTTTTAAGTTATTTTATTTTTTATTTTAAGTTTTATAAAAAAAGATAAGTCTGAAAAATATAAAAAAAATAAGAAAAAATACTTCGTTGTGGACATTTATTTACAACATCATAAAACTTCTGCATATTTGCGTGTTTTAACAATATAACTTTTATTGTTATTACAAGTTCAAGAACTGCACTAAAACAGATAAAAAACAGAACTAGAACTGAACTAGAACTGAACTAGAACTGAACTAGAACTGAACTAGAACTGAACTAGAACTGAACTAGAACTGAACTAGAACTGAACTAGAACTGAACTAGAACTGAACTAGAACTGAACTAGAACTGAACTAGAACTGAACTAGAACTGAACTAGAACTGAACTAGAACTGAACTAGAATTGAACTAGAACTGAACTAGAACTGAACTAGAACTGAACTAGAACTGAACTAGAACTGAACTAGAACTGAACTAAAACTGAACTAGAACTGAACTAGAACTGAACTAGAACTGAACTAGAACTGAACTAGAACTGAACTAGAACTAGAACTGAACTAGAACTGAACTAGAACTGAACTAGAACTGAACTAGAACTGAACTAGAACTGAACTAGAACTGAACTAGAACTGAACTAGAACTGAACTAGAACTGAACTAGAACTGAACTAGAACTGAACTAGAACTGAACTAGAACTGAACTAGAACTGAACTAGAATTGAACTAGAATTGAACTAGAATTGAACTAGAACTGAACTAGAACTGAACTAGAACTGAACTAGAACTGAACTAGAACTGAACTAGAACTGAACTAGAACTGAACTAGAACTGAACTAGAACTGAACTAGAACTGAACTAGAACTGAACTGAATTGAACTAGAACTGAACTAGAACTGAACTAGAATTGAACTAGAACTGAATTAGAACTGAAGTAGAACTGAACTAGAACTGAACTAGAACTGAACTAGAACTGAACTAGAACTGAACTAGAACTGAACTAGAACTGAACTAGAACTGAACTAGAACTGAACTAGAACTGAACTAGAACTGAACTAGAACTGAACTAGAACTGAACTAGAACTGAATTAGAACTGAACTCGAACTGAACTAGAATCGATTAAAAGCATTCATAAAGTTTCTTAATTTCAATTATGATCTAACGTCCCTCGAATAAAAAACAATTGAAAACTTTATTTAATTTAAATAAAATACTTTATATCCGCTGCTTAGAACGCCCTCTATTGTTTTATTTTTTAAAATTTAAACTTTAAAGAAAAAAGCTGTTTATTTTTTTATTTAAAGCTTTTAATTAATTATATAAAAAGTATATTTTCTGTTTTGTTACGATTAGTATTTAATTTGCATATTGTTTTCGTATTTAGTTTAGTTTTTAATGTTAAACAAATAAAAGAGTGAAAGAGTTGTTTGACCAGAATAATATCTAATAAAACAACAGTGTTGTAAACATATCGAATCAAATGTCTTGATATAAATTTTAGAAATTTATGGGTCTCTGTGATGCCCTTTAAGGCAAATTTAAAAGCTTCGATATATATTTAAAAAAAATACAATTTTTAAAAATGTATTAGTAAAATTTTAATATTTATTTATTTGCAAAATTTATAGATATATTATGCAATGAAAGACTGGTTTAATTAGTGAATGAGCATTAAATTGTATTCATTTTAATCAAATTAAAATTGTCTAGGGGGAATACCTTTATGCTGGAATATATCAGTGTATTAAACATCAAGGATGATAAAGCAGTTCAGATTGAAAGTTTCTGTGGCTGCTTCAAAACGTTAAAGAAAACTGTCATCAGTTAATAGACTTTTCAAAAGTCATGGCATAAGTTTTGTGTTCCGTAAAATTTGCCCTCAATTTTCTTTATTTCAGCTGGCTACTCTGTTTCTATTTTAAACGTAGAAAACTAGTAAATTATAAGATTTATCCAAATTTTGAAAAAAGTTATAAATTACAATTTACGATCTAAACAAATTAACATTTTAAAGTTTATATATGTTTATGCAGAAATCAGAACTTTATGAACTTATATTCTGAATAGATATTTAAATATTCACAAAACATATTATTAATCTCTTCAGCGAAGACGAATACGAAAATGAAGAAACTTGAAGTACCAGTCAAAAATGAAGCTAATTAATAAAACGTTTTATAATTAAAAAAAAAATAAATAATAAATATCAAAAAATAATAAACAAAAATTAAACAGAATTAAATTAAAAGAAATAGCAATTAAAAACTATAAAATATGACATGTTTCATAGAAGCACAGCTGTGACGTTAGGCGACAGTTAGAAAAATTAAGAATACTCTGGATCTTTATAAAGTTTTAAGACGATAGTCTGCCTTATTGGATTTTAAAACGATCTTGCTTTGTCCGTCTGGTTGTTGAAACAAGGATAGGACTCATCGCGGTGGGAGAATGGCTTGTTTTAGTAGAAAAATGTCGGTCTAACATTTTTCCAAGCCCCCGTCATAGTCAGATATATGTTGAGTAAAGCAATTGTTATAAAATTTGAAACAAGTCAGTTTAAATGCCCAGAAATTATACTGTAGAGTTTAGCGAAAACCTAGCAGCTCATAGCCCCACTTCAGAAAAAGTCACCACAAGTCTTTTAAATTTTGTGGATATCGGTCCATAACAGAACTAAGCCTATTTGCAATAATCAAATCACAACTTAAATTCAGCATTATGTTGTTTTTTGTTATAATTCCGAAATATTTTAACAATTTGTTGAAAAAATTGTTCAACCTTCTATGGGGGCTAGAGTCAAATGAGGTCCGAGACTTATACAAGACTAAGTTATGCCGATTTTTGAAGAGATAGTAGAACATAATTATGAGCACAAGAGCATTTTTCGGGGGTGGCTAAGTGAAATAATGGACACACAGAAGGACAGACATTGCTTAATCGATTTAGAAAGTGATTCTGAGCCGAAAGTAGGTGGGTGTAGGAAACATATTTTTAGGTGCTGCAAATGCATAATACACTCACCACTGAACCTAGTAGTGTAGGGTATAAAAACGTGTTTTATACATATTTAGTTCGAGCGGAAACGATCAGTCTCTGGCGAACCTATAAGTATCCAAATAGTATGTCCATCAGTATCTTCTAAATCTAGATCTGTTCCGAAGGTCGTGACTAATGTTCTAATGTATGTTTAAACTTCTCAACACTTTATCTTGAGGTAGGTGAAATTTGTTTTTAAAAATGGACACACAGAAGGACAGAGAGACAGACATTGCTTAATCGATTCAGAAAGTGAATTATTGAGCCGAAGTAGGTGGTTGTAGGAAACATATTTTTGGGTGCTGCAAACATTAGCACAAACGCATAATACCCTCACCACTGAACCTAGTAGTGTAGGGTATAAAACGTGTTTTATACATATTTAGTTCGAGCGGAAACGATCAGTCTCTGGCGAACCTATAAGTATCCAAATAGTTATGTCCATCAGTATCTCTAAATCTAGATCTGTTCGGAAGGTCGTGACTAATGTTCTAATGTATGTTTAAACTTCTCAACCCTTTATCTTGAGGTAGGTGAAATTTGTTTTTAAAAATGGACACACAGAAGGACAGAGAGACAGACATTGCTTAAATCGATTCAGAAAGTGAATTTGAGCCGAAAGTAGGGTGGTTGTAGGAAACGATCAGTCTCTGGAGACCCTATAAAGTATCCAAATAGTTACTTGTAGATAGTGATGCCACAAGTATCTCTTGATCTAGATCTCTTCGGTAGGCTTGTGACTAATGTCACAGCATGTGAAATTTATTTTTAAAATCGGACCAACCATTTAGAAATTACATATTTATTTCCCTGATTCGTTGAAATTGCTTTAGTGTGAATAAAATACAGTGGAGATTACATAAAAATTACCTCAGAAGGGTACCAATATAGGGTTACTCAGAAACCAGCCTAATACTGTTGAGTCCAAAGTGATTTATTGTGAACAATTACAGCAATAGGTCCGATTTTTTTTTGTCACATTTCTAAAGAGTATTAAAATAAAAATTTTAGCACAAAAATAAGTCTTCCGATTTCGATGCGTATTTCATACTTCTTAGTCGTCAACGCTTTTAGCCCTTATTATAAACTGTTTGAAAGAATATTTTATTTGATATTTTTTGCTAAGTACAAAATCATTATTTAATTTAAAATTATGGGGAAGACAATAAAAACTCGTTTATGTTTGTTTACTTCAGGCTTGTGTAAATAAATAAACAAAAAAAAAAAAAAAAAATCAAATGCTAAATATACCGGCTTTTTTTCTTCGAAAATTTATAAAAAAAAGTACCCAAAAATAAAATAAAAATATGAATTTTAAATTTTCTAACAAACATTCGCACTAGTAGTACTAGAGATATATACTAACTAATAAATACAAACATAATGCTGCTAATACAGAAGCTCCAACACTAATACAAGCACTACTTAACCAAACTAACAGATAGACGACAAACACTTCTAAATCTGTGTGTGTTAGTGTTATGAGGGGGTTTCATGATTTTATCACATAGACCCATTTAGATGCTAATTACTGACGCCACTACTTTAATACGTATATATGTATGTATATAGTGGATGATGAGAGTTTGTATTTGTTTTTATCTGCCAACAGATGTCTTCTTCCCTTATGGAAGAGAAATTTCAAATTGGGTTTTCAAACTTGAATTTTGTAGTTCAACTATAAAAGATGTTTATGTTTCTAGGTTTAGCATCAGTTTAGTTTTGTCCATTCGAAACACCAAACAGTAGTCATAATGAAAGTATTTGTTGCTCTTGCCGTTTTAGCCGTGTGTTCCCAAGCCCAAGGTCAACGTCTTGGCTTCGGTGGTGCCAATGCCAATGCTGCTGCTAGTGCTAACGCAGCTGCTAAGGGTGGTGCCGGTGGTTTTGGCGGTCTAGGCGGTTTTTGGTGGTGCTAATGCTGGTGCCAATGCTAACGCTAATGCTGGAGCTGTTGGTGGCGGTTTGGGTGGTGGTTTCGGCCGTCCCGGTTTCGGAGGTCCCGGTTTGGGAGGCGGTTTAGGCGGTGGTTTCGGTGGTGCCAATGCCGGTGCTAATGCTAACGCTAATGCTGGAGCTGTTGGTGGCGGTTTGGGTGGTGGTTTGGGAGGTGGTTTCGGCCGCCCCGGTTTGGGTGGCGGCTTCGGCGGTGCTAATGCCGGTGCTAATGCTAATGCCAACGCTGGTGCTACTGGTGGTGCTTTCGGTGGTCGCCGTCCCGGTTTGGGAGGTTTGTTGGGCGGTGGATTAGGTGGCGGTCTCGGTGGTGCTAACGCTGGAGCCAATGCTAACCGCTAATGCTGGTGCTACCGGTGGTGGTTTCGGTGGTCTTGGCGGTGGTCTTGGTGGTGGTCTTGGTGGTGGTTTCGGTGGTGGTTCTTCCTCCGCTTCTTCCTCAGCTTCTGCTTCCTCTACCGCTGGTGGTCGTGGTGGTTTGGGTGGTTTCGGTGGTGCCAATGCTGGCGCTACTGCTAATGCCAATGCCAACACCCTTGTCCGCGGTTAAGCTCTAGTCCTAATTGTTGTCTAATGTTAAGACTAATTTATTACGAAAAAAAAAAATTTGAAAAAATACATAAAAAAAAACTAATAAAAATAAATTTTAAATGGAATTTTTTTTTTCTTAATTAAAGCTTGTTAGCTAGTTTTTAAGCTGGTTTTGGGAACTGCTAGTTTAAATACAACTGAAATACTAAGAATGGTTAGACTTGCTCGACTATATTATAATATACTCTAGCTATGATTTAAAGAAATTTTTCCATTACGTCCTTTAGTGGTTCGACCACGAACCACTATTCCAAAAGTGGCCAACTTCGATTTACAATTTCTTCCGGCTCTCCAACAATATCTTTTGAAAAACCGCCTAAACCGTTATACACGTGTATGTTGAATTAAAAGAAAAAAAGTAATCGTGTCTCTTAAAATAGAATGATGAGCTCAGAGGAGATGATCTATAACAATGAAATTTTTCCGAAATTGTCTCTGATAAAGTTCGTACAAAACATCCATTCGTAAACCGTCATTATTAATTGATTATTCAGCAATCTAATACTAATTTGCACTAGTTAATCTTATGTTCCCAGAAAAAATACTGTAGAGTATGTCAAACATCGATTCACATTTGAACCTAGCCCTCATATAAGATGTATTTCTGATAATGACTTAAATGTTCATAATTTACTGAAAACATTAGTATATCGATTCTACATAAACAAGATTATCTACAAATTTCTCTACCAAATTTCATGATGATCACACCAAGAGTGCTGCTTATAATCTGACCAATGGCCCCATCAAAGAAACAGCTTCGAAACCTACATTTTTCAAAAGATAAGAAAATTTTGCATAAATCTAGTAAATTAAAAAAATATTAGTAAAAAAATGCCGAAATGATTTGCTCCAAAATCATTAAAGTTCAAGGTTTAACAAAACCATTAAGACTTTTATGGGATCATTGAGATCTTTACCAGATCGTTAAGATATTTTATCAGATCATTGAGATCTTTTTATAAGATCAATCAGATACATATATTGTAAGATCATTCAGATCTTTTGTAATACCATTCACATCTTATATCAAGTTTATTTATCTGAAATTCTTAGATTGATATTATTTGGAAGGCAATTAATACTTCAACATATAAACCAGATGTAGTTTCTTTTCTTCAAAGCCTTTTAGAATTTGTTAAATTTACTTATATTTTATGACGTTTATATAATTTATACTAATGTCGTAAAAAGTACTACTATTAATCTATTACCCCAAAACGTCTGGATCCTTCAAACGTATTCGGTTAAAATTTATAAATTGCAAACAAAACCCAAAACAAATTAATATTTCCTCATGAATAATTTAATATAACTTGCTACTCATATAACCAAATTAAATAAGATTTTACAATTTAAATTATTTAACATATATAATAAACAAATTATAACATAAGGTTTTCCAATAAAAACCGGAATGATATATATAATAATGTTTGGATAATAAGTAGAGTCTATTGGAGAGTATATTGTCATATGAGTAGTCTATAGTTGTCTAATCTATTAACTAGTCTATTGTTCACTGAATTTTCTTTGGACTAGCGTTTGGCCTACTCTACAGACTAGTTCATTGACTTGACTTTCAACTAGTCTATTGAAAAGAGTTTGGAATTTTCTATGAATTAGTCTACTGACTAAACTATGGACTAATTTATTGACTAAACTATGGACATGTTTATTGTATATTCTTTTCACTAGTCTTCTGACTTCTGAAAGAATTAGTCTTTGTATTAGTCTATGGACTAGTATATATACTAGTCTATTTCTTAGTCTGTTAAGACTGATTTATTGACGAAAGTATCGACCAGTCTATTGGCTAATATTTGGACTAGTCTTTTTGCTACTTAGTCTACTAAATAGGCCTTAGGACATTGTATTGACTAGTCTATGGAATAATCTATTGATTTGCCAATGGGCTTTCTATTGAATTGTATTTGAAATATTCTTTGGACTAGTCTATTGAGCTATCTTTGTATTTATATATACAATAATTTATTGACCAATCTATTGAATAGTTTTGGACTAGTCTTTGGGCAACTCTATGGACTAGACAAGTCTATGGACTCTCTTTAGTCTATTAACTACTTTATTCACTAGTGTTTGGACTATTCCGGCGTATTATCTTTTAACTAGTCTATTCTTTGTATCACATATAGGGCAGTCAATTGACTGGTCTATACTTGTTTCTGAACTTTATAATTAAATAGTTCATTGGCTTATATTTGGACTAGTCTATTGTGTAATATATGGACCATTCCTTGGAATAGACTTTGGATTTCTATATTTATTAGTTTATTGTCTATTCTATTGACTGGTCTATTCATCGGACTAGTCTAAGAGTTTAAACTATTCTATTGATAGGGCTTTGTAATAGTCTATCGACTAGATAATGGACTTGGATATTGCTTAGACTATGTACTAGTTTATTGATTACTTAGTTCATGAACTAGTCTATTGAACAATCTATTGACTAGACTATGGATTAGACTATTGATTTCTATATTGAGTGGATGCAAATCGGAATTAAAGATACAAATTCGAACATTTTGAAGATCGGTGTGTAAATCCACCGCCATATACTTTCAATTAATCATAGATTCGTCTTATTGGAAAACCCTTTATCAAACGAATTTTAAAGATTTATTTATATTGTTCGATTTTACAGCTGCTGTTTATATCGTCAAAGAAAAAGGCCATTAAAGAAATTTTAAGACTTTCAAGATTCGTATTGAATATAATTTACACATATTAAAAACAAAAATCATTAATTAGAGTAAAACTTTTTTAAACTAGATTTATTTAATTTATTTTGTAAAATATATTAATTTACCCACTTAAAATGTTATGTTAATAAAATTATACAAGAAAAAAAAAAAAAGAAAAATCAAAAATACACAGATAGATTTATCTTTCAAAATTTATTTTTTTAATTAAACATTAAAGCATTGTCAATTAAATCCATGACTTATTAATGTCCATATCCATGACCACCGGCAGCACCTGCACTTGCACTTGCAGCAGCATTGGCAGCTGCATTTGCTACACCACCACCAATTGCTGAAGCAACTGCATTAGCTTTAGCATCAGCATTGGCGCCACCTGCAAGGTGACCAGCTCCTTGTAAGCCAGCACCACCAGCAAGATGTCCAGCTCCCTGTAAACTAGCGCCAGCACCACCAGCAAGATGTCCAGCTCCCTGTAAACCAGCGCCAGCACCACCAGCAAGATGTCCAGCTCCCTGTAAACCGGCACCAGCAAGATGACCAGCGCCCTGTAAAGCAGCACCACCAGCAAGATGTCCAGCTTCCTGTAAACCTGCTCCAGCACCACCAGCAAGATGACCAGCACCCTGTAAACCTGCGCCAGCACCACCAGCTAGATGACCAGCTCCTTGTAAACCAGCACCACCAGCTAGATGACCAGTTCCTTGTAAACCAGCGCCTGCACCACCACCAAGATGACCTGCACCAGCACCACCATGATGACCAGCGCCACCACCATGATGACCAGCTCCACCGCCTTTACCACCACCTAAACCGGCAGAGGCATGACCACCAGCATTAGCACTAGCTGAACCATGTCCACCAGCACCATAACCATGAGCATTAACGCTTACGATGGCCACGATCAATAAAACAAAAGCAAATAATTTCATGATGTAACAAACACTTTTCGGAAACTGTTGCTAATAATGGCACTTGTTCCGACTTATATACTTAAGTTCTATTTGAAAAAATTTGCCAAAAAATCTAATTATAATTAACCAGATTTATTAAAAACAAACAAAATATATCTACTATTACTTAAATAATTAAAAATACTTGTACTACAACAAATGATCATCATCATCATGTGCCTCTACAATATATATATATTTTTTATATTTGTTCAAAAATTTGAAATATTGATTGTTTGGTTTTCAATTATAAATGTTTTTGTGCAGATGCATTTTGTGTAATTAATTAATATTAAAGCAGACAACTTCAAATATTCATACAAACTGGTATTTATTATCGTAGTGAAATTTTTTTTAAATGGTGATCTTTAGAAAAAAAGTTTAATAATTTTTATTATAAGAAAATAATATACTATACTTTTAGGATGTTAAAAATAAAATTTTAATATAACGAGGGTGGTTTTTAAAGATTTTACAACATCATAGATTTGCTTAAATTTTACAATTCTAAGTTTTTGGTGCAATACTAATTTATATCTATCCATAATAGACGCACAAAAATATTTACATCGATTGACCATAAGAACTGGTCCAATGAATCAACTGTTGACTGTCATATTCACCCTTCTCTTCATTAGTACAATCTACTAATCTCTTAATTAATTTCTTCTAATCCAGTTCTAGTTTAGTTCAGTTCTAATTCACTTCAGTTCTAGATCAGTTCTAGTTCAGTTTCTAGTTCAGTTCTAGTTCAGTTCTAGTTCAGTTCTAGTTCAGTTCTAGTTCAGTTCTAGTTCAGTTCTAGTTCAGTTCTAGTTCAGTTCTAGTTCAGTTCTAGTTCAGTTCTAGTTCAGTTCTAGTTCAGTTCTAGTTCAGTTCTAGTTCAGTTCTAGTTCAATTCTAGTCAGTTCTATTTCAGTTCAAGTTCAGTTCTAGTTCAGTTCTAGTTCAGTTCTAGTTCAGTTCTAGTTCAGTCTAGTTCAGTTCTAGTTCAGTTCTAGTTCAGTTCTAGTTCAGTTCTAGTTCAGTTCTAGTTCAGTTCTAGTTCAGTTCTAGTTCAGTTCTAGTTCAGTTCTAGTTCAGTTCTAGTTCAGTTCTAGTTCAGTTCTAGTTCAGTTCTAGTTCAGTTCTAGTTCAGTTCTGGTTCAGTTCTAGTTCAGTTCTAGTTCAGTTCTAGTTCAGTTCTAGTTCAGTTCTAGTCAGTTCTAGTTCAGTTCTAGTTCAGTTCTAGTTCAGTTCTAGTTCAGTTCTAGTTCAGTTCTAGTTCAGTTCTAGTTCAGTTCTAGTTCAGTTCTAGTTCAGTTCTAGTTCAGTTAGTTCAGTTCTAGTTCAGTTCTAGTTCAGTTCTAGTTCAGTTCTAGTTCAGTTCTAGTTCAGTTCTAGTTCAGTTCTTGTTCAGTTCTAGTCCAGTTCTAGTTCAGTTCTAGTTCAGTTCTAGTTCAGTTCTAGTTCAGTTCTAGTTCAGTTCTAGTTCAGTTCTAGTTCAGTTCTAGTTCAGTTCTAGTTCAGTTCTAGTTCAGTTCTAGTTCAGTTCTAGTTCAGTTCTAGTTCAGTTCTAGTTCAGTTCTAGTTCAGTTCTAGTTCAGTTCTAGTTCAGTTCTAGTTCAGTTCTAGTTCAGTTCAGTTCAGTTCAGTTCAGTCTAGTTCAGTTCTAGTTCAGTTCTAGTTCAGTTCTAGTTCAGTTCTAGTTCAGTTCTAGTTCAGTTCTAGTTCAGTTCTAGTTCAGTTCTAGTTCAGTTCTAGTTCAGTTCTAGTTCTAGTTCTAGTTCAGTTCTAGTTCTAGTTCAGTTCTATAGTTCTAGTTCAGTTCTAGTTCTAGTTCAGTTCTAGTTCTAGTTCAGTTCTAGTTCAGTTCTAGTTCAGTTCTAGTTCTAGTTCAGTTCTAGTTCTAGTTCAGTTCTAGTTCTAGTTCTAGTTCTAGTTCAGTTCTAGTTCTAGTTCAGTTCTAGTTAAGTTCTAGTTCAGTTCTAGTCGTTTCTAGTTCAGTTCTAGTTCAGTTCTAGTTCAGTTCTAGTTCAGTTCTAGTTCAGTTCTAGTTCAGTTCTAGTTCAGTTCTAGTTCAGTTCTAGTTCAGTTCTAGTTCAGTTCTAGTTCAGTTCTAGTTCAGTTCTAGTTCAGTTCTAGTTCAGTTCTAGTTCAGGTCAGTTCTAGTTCAGTTCTAGTTCAGTTCTAGTTCGTTCTAGTTCAGTTCTAGTTCAGTTCTAGTTCAGTTCTAGTTCAGTTCTAGTTCAGTTCTAGTTCAGTTCTAGTTCAGTTCTAGTTCAGTTCTAGTTCAAGTTCTAGTTCAGTTCTAGTTCAGTTCTAGTTCAGTTCTAGTTCAGTTCTAGTCAGTTCTAGTTCAGTTCTAGTTCAGTTCTAGTTCGTTCTAGTTCAGTTCTAGTTCAGTTCTTAGTTCAGTTCTAGTTCAGTTCTAGTCAGTTCTAGTTCAGTTCTAGTTCAGTTCTAGTTCAGTTCTAGTTTCAGTTCTAGTTCAGTTCTAGTTCAGTTCTAGTTCAGTTCTAGTTCAGTTCTAGTCAGTTCTAGTTCAGTTCTAGTTCAGTTCTAGTTCAGTTTAGTTCAGTTCTAGTTTCTAGTTCAGTTCTAGTTCTAGTATAGTTCAGTTCTAGTGTCTAGTTCAGTTCTAGTTCAGTTCTAGTTCAGTCTAGTTCAGTTCGAGTTCTAGTTCTAGTTCAGTTCTATGTTCAGTTCTAGTTCAGTTCTAGTTCTAGTTCAGTTCTAGTTCTAGTTCAGTTCTAGTTCAGTTCTAGTTCAGTTCTTCTAGTTCAGTTTCTAGTTCAGTTCTAGTTCAGTTCTAGTTCAGTTCTAGTTCAGTTCTAGTTCAGTTCTAGTTCAGTTCTAGTTTCAGTTTCTAGTTCAGTTCTAGTTCAGTTCTAGTTCAGTTCTAGTTCAGTTCTAGTTCAGTTCTAGTTCAGTTCTAGTTCAGTTCTAGTTCAGTTCTAGTTCAGTTCTAGTTCAGTTCTAGTTCAGTTTCTAGTTCAGTTTCTAGTTCAGTTCTAGTCAGTTCTAGTCAGTTCTAGTTCAGTTCTAGTTCAGTTCTAGTTCAGTTCTAGTTCAGTTCTAGTTCAGTTCTAGTTCAGTTCTAGTTCAGTTCTAGTTCAGTTCTAGTTCAGTTCTAGTTCAGTTCTAGTTCAGTTCTAGTTCAGTTCTAGTCAGTTCTAGTTTCAGTTCTAGTTCAGTTCTAGTTCTAGTTCAGTTCTAGTTCAGTTCTAGTTCAGTTCTAGTTCAGTTCTAGTTCAGTTCTAGTTCAGTTCTAGTTCAGTTCTAGTTCAGTTCTAGTTCAGTTCTAGTTCAGTTCTAGTTCAGTTCTAGTTCAGTTCTAGTTCAGTTCTAGTTCAGTTCTAGTTCAGTTCTAGTTCAGTTCTAGTTCAGTTCTAGTTCAGTTCTAGTTCAGTTCTAGTTCAGTTCTAGTTCAGTTCTAGTTCAGTTCTAGTTCAGTTCTAGTTCAGTTCTAGTTCAGTTCTAGTTCAGTTCTAGTTCAGTTCTAGTTCAGTTCTAGTTCAGTTCTAGTTCAGTTCTAGTTCAGTTCTAGTTCAGTTCTAGTTCAGTTCTAGTTCAGTCTAGTTCAGTTCTAGTTCAGTTCTAGTTCAGTTCTAGTTCAGTTCTAGTTCAGTTCTAGTTCAGTTCTAGTTCAGTTCTAGTTCAGTTCTAGTTCAGTTCTAGTTCAGTTCTAGTTCAGTTCTAGTTCAGTTATAGTTCAGTTCTAGTTCAGTTCTAGTTCAGTTCTAGTTCAGTTCTAGTTCAGTTCTAGTTCAGTTCTAGTTCAGTTCTAGTTCAGTTCTAGTTCAGTTCTAGTTCAGTTCTAGTTCAGTTCTAGTTCAGTTCTAGTTCAGTTCTAGTTCAGTTCTAGTTCAGTTCTAGTTCAGTTCTAGTTCAGTTCTAGTTCAGTTCTAGTTCAGTTCTAGTTCAGTTCTAGTTCAGTTCTATTTCAGTTCTAGTTCAGTTAATTTTGAAATTAATTCATAGACTTAATAAAACAATTAAAAATTAATTAAATCATATTAAAAATTTGCACAAAAATAAATATTTAAATGTACGTATATAGAAATATAGTTAAATCGTCATAAAGATTACTTTTTGAAAAAAATAATTAAATAATAAATTTCATAATTAATATTCTTAAAAAATGCATTTAGAAATTAAATTTAATATTTGTTTATAATTGCATTTAAATATGCAATTCATGATTGTATAATATTTTGACCAGTTTTTTTTAATTAAACGATATTTTTTGTGAATCTGGTTAAGTTTGTTTCAAAAATAATTTTGCTATAAAAATAGCAAGATTTTCCTCAACCAACATCCAGTTGTTAAAGTTCTACTGTTCTCTAAAATGAAATTCTTTGCTCTTTTGTGTTTCCTACTTGTGGCTGTAATGGCTGTTAGTGGTCATCTTGCTGCTGGTATTGGTGCTGAGGCTGGAGCTTCAGGTGCTGGAACCGCTGCTGAAATTGGTGCAAGCGGTAGTGCTGATGTTGCTGGTGCCGCCTCAACAGCAGCTAACGTGGCAGCTGATGTAGTCAAAGCTGATGTTGCGTTGAAGGCTCATGCTTTTAATAAGTTAACCTCTTTGGCTGGTTAAAAAGTGTATTCGAATTAACTTAGCTGATTTTAAAGAAAACTGAAATTTGTCCGGATATATACTTATGGTGTGGAAATATTTTTAAAAACTTGAATAAAAATATATAAATTCATTTAATATGGTTATTGTTTTTTTATATATATTTAGTATTTCTTAATATTTAAACTTTCTTTTGTGAAAGAAAAAATATTGTAGACAATACAAACGATTCATATCTATGGGATCCATTTGAAAGTTGAAATTTTTGTAAATAAAAAATGTTTTCAAAGAAGTGACATCTGGTATATAAAACTTTTACTCGGACTTGATGATTCCAACTTTTGGTGAAAAACTTTTAAATTATTATTGTAGGATTTTTCTGAATGTTCCTATAAATTACTTCTGGACACACCTAATAATCGGCAATATTTTTTGGAAAGGCAATGATGAAAAAATTAAATTGGATAGAGAACTAACATTAAAAA